TGTGTGTGTGTGTGTGTGTGTGTGTGTGTGTGTCTGTGTGTGTGTGTGTGTGTGTGTGTGTCTGTGTGTGTGTGTGGGGGAGATTCTGAAGCCCATCTCAGGTTTGATTGCCAATGAATATGACCTTCTTGATTAAACCTGAGAGAGAGTTTGCTGCACAAGTCACTTCTTTTTAACCAACTTGACAAATGATGATTTGCAAATGCACCTCAGCGTATGGAAGTCAGGCACTTTGCTTATGGACTGAAGGCGAGGCAGTTAAACGAGTTTAATCTCTCTCTCTCTCTCCCTGTGCAAAATTGGTTATCCACAGATTTACTCTTCACCAGAGCTAACTTCACCTCCTTCCCGATTGAAGGCAGGATTCTGGACTTGACCAGGATTTCAGGCTAACCCCAGGTGGAGGGTTTCATTGACTGTACCCAACCACCTTCACTTGCTAATTGACCCCTCTCTTAAGGAGAAAAGTTGCTATCTATCTATACGGCTCATAACTTTGTCCTCTTCAATCAGCACCCTGCAACTTCAGCCTTCCCCCTGTTCTGTGTAAGACAACCCCAGCCTCTCTAACCCTTCTTCATTGCTGAACTGCTCTGTTGCAGGCCATATCTTGAATGTGTTTCAACACTCGAGCTGAGAGACTGTACAGACATTGGGCTTCCACTCTCATGGCAGCAGCGGCTGTGTGATGATGTGCAGGTCCTGACACAGGCCAGTGTCACTCATCCTGACCACTGCCCTGATACCTTTATCCAGTTCCAGCATTCCATTCTCTGACTCTCAGTCCAAACCACTGAGCGGGAAATTTCTGTGTGACAATGAGGCCATCCTTTCACCAAGCTTCGTGGTAGCCATGTGCCATCTCCAAGATGAAATGCAGTTAACACCAACCTGAGTCCATCCTCAAAAAGGACCTCATTGGCATCTGGCTTTAGACGCATCAAAAAATGGCAACCCATTACTTTGTATTGCACTTGTACTCACTGGAATTTAAAACAGTGAGGAGGGGTCATGTAGAAACACATAAAATCCTGATGGGACTGGACAGGCTACTGGTGGGAAGAATGTTCCCAAAGTTGGGAAAGCCCAGAACTAGGGGGTCACAGTCTAAGAATAAGGGGTGAGCCATTCAGGACTGAGGTGAGGAAGAATTTCTTCACTCACAGAGTGGTGAACATGTGGAATTCTCTCCCACAGGAAGCTGTAGGGGCCAGTTCATTAGATATATTCAAGAGGGAGCTGGACGTGGCCCTTACAGCTAAAGGGATCAAGAGGTATGGAGAGAAAGCGGGAGTGGGATACTGAGATTGCATGACCAGCCATGATCATGTTGAATAGTGGTGCAGGCTCTCGAAGGGCCGAATGGCCTATTCCTGCATCTATTTTCTATGTTTCTGTGTCTCTTCCCTGCCCCCTCACAAATCCTGCCCTGGAGGTGGCTTAATGTAATGGATGGAATTAAGTTGGAAGTTGGTGTAAGGCCGAGCTAAGGCCCTAATGTGCCTTCTAATGCATAGTAACAGACTGCAGTATGTTGTGGGATTTCACATTTTGTCTTTTTATCTTATTCATTCGTGGGATGTGCGTGTCACTTGCTAGACAAGCATTTATTGCCCATCCCTAATTGCCCAGAGGGCAGTTAAGAATCAACCACATTGCTGTGGGTCTGGAGTTGCATGTAGGTCACACCAGGTAAGGATGGCAGTTTCCCTCCCTAAAGGACATTCCTGAACCAGGTGGGTTTTTCCTGATAATTAGCAATGGTTTCCTGGTCAGCATTAGACTCTTATTTCCTTATTATTACTGAAAATTCAAATTCCACTGTTTGCCATGACAGGATTCGAACCCAGGTGCCCAGAACATTACCTGGGTCTCTGGATTAATAGTCTAGTGGTAATAGTCGCCCAGTTTTCTCCTGTTTTAACCGGGTCCGTTTTATTCACAGATAGCTGCGTCAGGAGGAACCCTTCCCCCTGTCAGTACGTTGACTGCTCTTCACAGTTTACCACACAACCCGCACACTGTGGCCCAGCAGACCCAGAACCTCATCATGGCTTCCTTACCCAGCGTCATGGCCATAGCACCAAGTGAGTCAACCTGTCTGTCGCCCGCACTCACTAATGGAGGAGCTTCTACATTGGTCATCGGTGAGTAGGACCTTCACATTGCTGGAATAAGCATCTTCTAACCCATCACACACACACTCCACATTTAATTCCTGCTGTTATGTACGAAAACATCATGGCAACCATTTTGTGATCCCACAGGCAGTCAATTTAGTAACTAATTAATCTGTTTTTATAATTTTTTTCTGAGGGAGGAAATGTTAGACAAGATACTGAGAGAACCCAGGGCTCCAGTGTAACTAAATCGTAAGATCTTCACCATCTATTTGAATGATAATCGCATACAGATGATGTCTCATGTTAACATATTATTCAAAGAACAAATATTAAAAAGCAGAAAATTCCTGAACTTGGTAAAAGTACTGACTGGTCTGATAGTCATACTATCAAAGATTACAACATTGAATGAGGCTATTCAGCCTATTCTGTCTATGCTGACTCTTTGCTAGAGAAATGTAAATCAGATCCCATTGCCTTGCCCTCTCCTCAATGCCCTATACCTTCCAACATTTTAAATATTCTCTTAAAAGGGGCAATGGTTTTTGCTTTAATTGTTACCTGTCCTCATAGATTCTAAGTAAATTGATCTGAAGTAAGAGTTCTGACAGAAAGAGCATGCATTTATATCTGCATATATTATTTATAAGACCTAGGCGTGTCTCAATATGCTTGACACACGAATGTGTGGTTGCGATTGTAACATAAGCATTCTACTCACAGGAGGATCTCACAGCATAGAAAAAGAGACAGAAAAAAAACAGACAAAGAGACAGAGAGAGAGGTGGATAGACAGAGAGAAGGAAATTGACAGGGAGAGGGGAGGCAGAGAAAGAGAAAATAGACAAAGCGAGAAAGAGACAGAAAGACAGTGAGACAGAGAGAGGAACATAGAAAGAGACTGACAGAGATTCAGAGAGACAAAAACAGAGAACATGAGACAGAGAGACCAAGAGAGAGACAGAAACTCAGAGAGACAGAGGGACTGTGCAGCCAAAGCACCAGAGAGAATAGACTCCATGGAAGCTAAGGAGATATGAGGCGTCTTCACTGTTTGCTGCTCCTTCAGTCACAGTGAGCCCCTTCGTACCAAATGCAGGAGAGAAGTGGCCTCTGATTGGAGAACCAGGCCTACGGTAAATTACAAACCCACAGACCTGCTCTTCTCTGTGTCCTGGACAAGGGTTAGTGGGAGTGCTGTCCTGCACATCCAAAGGAGAAGACTAGTAATACTCACATCAGAGACACACTGGTGTGACCTGTCCTGTTATCTTTAAAATGGAGCTCCAGTACCACCAGTTTAGTAGTCTTAGATAATAAGGTGTAGAGCTGGATGAACACAGCAGGCCAGGCAGCATCAGAGGAGCAGGAAAGCTGACGTTTCGGGTCTGGACCCTTTTTTTCTGCTCCTCTGATGCTACCTGGCCTGCTGTGTTTATCCAGCTTTACACTTTGTTATCTCAGACTCCAGCATAGGCAGTTCCTACTATCTCTGAGTTTAGGAGTCTTGTTGCCTTTTGTCTACTGGTCTAGCCTCTGCAGGCCACATGTTGCACCTGTTCTGATCTATAAAATATTGAATGGATTGGTGAGAATTGGCAGAAACAAACCCTTGATATCTTCTGGCAATGACAAAACACAAAAAAAAACTGTCATCAGTTTTCAAAACAGTGCAAGCTTTCCTCCCAAGGACTAAATACTGAAGAATCTGCACCTAGGTACCATGTATGTAAGATGGCACTGTAAACTCTTCGCTGTAATTATTTGAGTGCATGTGACAGTAAATCTAGTTCAATTCAATTCAATTCAATTCAATACATATAAATGTCACAGAAAATGGTCACAGTCCCATCAATGGAAATCTTCAAAACCCGTCTTCAGATGAATTCTATATATCAGGAATTGTGTCAGGAGCGTGATAGAATACTCCCCACTTGCCTGGATGAGTGCAGCCCCAACAACACTCAAGAAGCTTGACACCATTCAGGATAAAGCAGCCCACTTGGTTGGCACTACATCCACGAGCATCCACTCCCTCCACCACTGACGCTCAGTCACAGCAGTGTGTACCATCTACAAATGCACTGCAGAAATTCCCCAAAGATCCTCAGACAGCACCTTCCAAACCCACGACCACTTCCATCTAGAAGGACAAGGGCAGCAGAAATATGGGAACACCACCGCCTTCAGGTTCCCCTCCAAGCCACTCATCATCCTGATTTGGAAATATATTGCCATTCCTTCACGATCGCTGGGTCAAAATCCTGGAATTCCCTCCCTAAGGACATTGTGGGTCAACCCACAGCAGGTGGACTGCAGCGGTTCAAGAAGGCAGCTCACCACCACCTTCTCAAGGGCAGCTAGGGATGGGCAAGAAATGCTGGCCCAGCCAGCGACACCCACATCCCACAAAATGAATGAATTAAAAGAAATAAGTTTTCATTGTCTGGGTAACCACGTCTGCAGCTCATGCCTGGTTTAGCCAGCACTACCCATTGAAAAAGTCAACACAATCAGGATATTAGTCTGTGACACACTAAGCAGATGGAAACAAAGCTGTTTATGGATCACTAGGTGAATGTGACTGCATTCCAACAAGGGTTCCTACAGGGAATCCCAGTCCAGGGCTCTCCAGTTTGCTGGAATTAAGATTTCAATTGAAGTTGTAAATAGCGAGTAATCGTGAAACACCCAAATGTCAAAGAACAAAGAGAGCTGTCTCATCCTGTGCAACCCAAAGTCACAGAATCATTGTGTTGTAGAAGGAGGCTATTTGGCCCTGTGTGACTGTACCTGGAGGTATACCGCGAGAGACACAACAGTCAGTGGGAAGGCCAGATACATCTCACTTTGAAGTGTTATGTTTGCAGGCTCCCATTCATCCATTCGGAAAAAAATAAAGCCTTTAAAAAAAATAGCAAGTTTGTGAATGAAAATGTTTGCTTTCCTCAATAAGTGAGAGGAGGAAGATTTAAAAAGGACATGAGGGGAAACTTTTTTTACACAGGGAGTGGTTCATGTGTGGAATGAACTTCCAGAGGAAGTGGTGGATGCAGGATAAGTACATGAATTGGAAAGATTTGGAGGGATATGGGCCAAGTGCAGGCAAATGGGTCTAGTTCAGTTTGGGATTATGGTCGATGTGGGCTATTTGGACCGAAGGGTCTGTATGGCTCTATGACTTCACTCAAGAGGGCACTTGCGTACTCTACACAAGCATTCAATAACAAAGGCTCTTTTCTGATGAGGATCGTGTCATGTGGACATAGAAAACTGACAGGTGAAAGGATCCAGCTGGTGCAGTAGATCTGGCCCACCCAATAGTAACTTGTTTTTATGTAATACCTTCAATACATTAAACCACCTCAAGGCACTTCAGAGGAGTGTGATAGAACAACAGTCAAGCTTGAGCCACATAGGGAAATGTTATGAAACGTGACCAAAGTTTGGCCAAGGAGGTTTTAAGGTTGGTCTTAAATAAGATCGAGCGGTGGAAAGGTTTAGGAAGAGGATTCCAGAGCTTAGGGTCCAGGCAGCTGCAGGTTTCAGTAGTGGAGCCACTCAAATTCGGAAAACTCAGGAGACCAGAATTGGATGAATGAGCACAGGTATCTCAGGAGGGTTTGAGTCTGGAGGACCTTACAGAGATAGGGAGGGGTGGTGTCATGGAGGGTTTTAAACAAGGATGAACATTTTGAAATCGAGGCCATGCTTTGGACTGGGAACCCAAGGTAGGTGAGTGATCACAGAGGTGATGGGTGAATGGGATTTGGCCCTACTTATGCCACACTCGCATGTTTGATGCCAAAGTTGCAAACCATCTAGTGCAGCCTCAGTTACCAGGGAGAAGGCCGGAGTTGGCAGCAAAGGAACAGAGTTTGGAGTGGGACTCAAAGACAATGCTTCCTGTCTTCCCAACATTTAATTGGAGAAAATTTGTGCTGATCCAATACTGGATATTAAGAAACAGTCTGATAATAGCAGCTGTGGAGGCAGGGGCAGCACAAGGGGTTTTGGTGTCCCCCATCCTCCTACATTCAATACAGAGGCAAATTATGAAGTTTTACCTTTATTTACTTTTACCCTTTAAAACCTGGAGCACAGGATGACCACAAAGTGCACCTTTGTGTTCAGATCAGCCCTGAGTGGAGCTGTATGAACTGAAAAACAATGATGGTAATGTTGATGTGAACACCAATGCTACATTTACACTTGAAGTTGCAGTGGGTGGGTGAGAAACAGGAAAGGGTCAAGGATTGGGGGACACTAGAGGTGTGGCAGTGGGAAGAGAAGCCATTTCATTTGGCAATGATTGGATGAATCAGAATGGAACCACGTGGAGATGATGGACTAGTGGTATTATTAATGGAGTATTAATCCAGGAACCCAGATAATGTTCTGGGGACCCGGGTTCAAACCCCGCCATGGCAGATGGTGGAATTTGAATTCAATAAATATCTGGAATTAAGAATCTAACGATGACTGTGAATCCATTGTCGATTGTCGCGAAAAACCCATCTGGTTCACTAATGCCCTTTAGGGAAGGAAACTGCCATCCTTACCTGATCTGGCCTACATGTGACTCCAGACCCACAGCAATGTGGTTGACTCTTAACTGCCTTCTGGGCAATAAATGCTGGCCTAGCTAGCAATGCCGTCATCCCGTGAATGAGGAAAAGAAAAAAAAATGTGAGGGCAGTCCCAGCCAGATGGATGGCATTGGAGGAGGACGGTATGGTCAAACATAGGCAGGCAAGTAATCAGGGACAAGAAGAAAAAGATTAAGATATTATAAAATAGGAGAGGATTCAGAAAAGATCTACCAGGATGTTGCTGGAAATGGAAGGTTTGAGTTATGAGGAGAGGCTGGATAGGCTGGGACCTTTATCACTGGAGCATAGGAGGATGTGGATTGATCTTATAGAGATTTATAAAGACATGAGGGGCATGAATAAGGTTAATAGCAAAGGTCTTTTCCCTAAGGTGGGGGAGCTCAAAACTAGGGGTCATATTTTTAAGGCGAGAAGACGAAGAAATGTGGGGGTAACTTTTCTCACAGAGGGTGGTTTATATGTAGAATGAACTGCTAGCAGAACTGGTAGGTGCAGGTACAGTTATAACATTTAAAAGACATTTTAACAGGTACACAAATAGGAAAAGGTTGAGAGGGATATGGGCCAAACATAGGCAAGATGGATTAGCTAGTTTCAGAACATGGTTGACATGGATGAGTTGGGTTGAAAGGTCTGTTTCCGTGCTGTATAACTCTATGACTTTATTAGGTTTGTTTTCTTCATTGTGGGTGTCATTTCTGACTGGAAGAGGAAAGAGAGGTTGGAGAAATCACTCTGTGATAACTATCGATATCCTCAGAGATAGTAAGAACTGCGAATGCTGGAGTCTGAGATAACACAGTGTGGAGCTGGAGGAACACAGCAGGCCGGGCAGTATCAGAGGAGCAGGAAAGTTGACCTTTCAGGTCGGGACCCTTCTCATTTCTGAAGAAGAGCATCTGTATACTTACCTGGCAGGGGAGAGGCAATGGTCGTGAAGGTGGTTTTCCCAGGATGCTGCCAAACCTGCTGAGTTTCTCCAGCGGTTCTCTGTGTGTTTTTCATTCTGCCTTTTGTAGCCTCACTACCAGGATGTTTGTTATGAACATGATGCAAATTAAAGAAAAAACACACAATACATGTTAGAAATGATTAGCCAGTCAGGTAGAATCCATGGAGGAAGAAAACTGCGTCAACAGTTTAACTCAATGACAGATCATCAAGCACTTTCTGATTGTGGTTCAGGAGTCTGGTGTCTGCAGTATTTTGTTTTTGTGCAGATAGAGGCTCAAACTAGTAAAAGTAGAACTGATGTAAGGACCTTTCTCTTTACGCTAAGTGAGATTAATATATGGAATAGGCTTTCAGATAGAGTAATGAAGGCAAAGAAACATAAACAAGTTACAAAAGCACTTACAATAGGGCAGGGACATTTTGGGTTGATTAAGTTGATCGATCCATATGTTCCTTTGGCCATTCCCAGACTAATGCCAACTATTACTGACGCATTGGACTTTGACGCAGATCGTGGCTTCAGATCCCATTCCAGAAACTTCAGCATGCAGTTTAGTAACATACAGCAATACTAAGTGAGTGCTGCACTGCTGGAGGTACTGTCTCTCCTGCATTTCTCTACCCTCTTGGATGGATATTCAAGATTCCATCCCATTGTTGGAAGAAGAGCAGGACTCCTATTTATCCCTGCCTAGTGGTATTCATCTGTTAAACTGTTGATCCAAATCAGGTTCCTGGGACTGGATTTGAATCCTGCCACAGCAGATGGTGGAATTTGAATTCAATAAAATGTCTGGAATTAAGAGTCTAATGATGACCGTGAATCCATTGTCGATTGTTGGGGAAAACCCCATCTGGTTCACTAACGTCCTTCAGGGAAGGAAACTGCCATCCTTACCTGGTCTGGCCTACATGTGACTCCAGACCCACAGAAATGTGGTTGACTCTGAAATGCCCTCTGGGCAATAAATGCTGCCTGGCCAGCAACACCCTAATCCTGTGAATGAATTTTAAAAAATTATCTGGCCATTACCACATTGTTGTTTGTGGAATCTTGCTCAAGACAAACGGATTGTACACCTCTCGTGTTGCACTGGTAACTATGTTACAAAAGTACTCAATTAGCTGTAAAACACTTTTTGGGATATTTTGGGGTCCTGAAAGGCACTATATAAATGCACGTCTTTCTACCCCATGAGACTGAGGTGGAATATTAGGTAGCTGAGTTGCTGCTGGAAGTGGAAAGGGTCGCTGCTAAACCTTTGGCACAAACTCACATGATCCAAAAGAAAAACTTCCATTGGCCCACGGTGTGTGTTGAGTTTGAACTGTTTAACGTGTCTTGTGGTCTTGACTATGCAAAGTGTGCCAGCAAAAGTATTCCCTCAGGCAAATACTTGGTTTTGTGTTTCCAGGCCTCGCCACGACTCAAGCTCAGAACGTTCCGGTCATTAACAGCATGGGCGGGAGCCTGACGACCCTTCAGCCTGTGCAGTTTCCGCAGCAACTGCATGCCCACCACCAGCAACCAATCATGCATCAGGTCCAGGGTCACATGGCTCAGAGTTCATTCATGGCTACAATGGCCCAGCTTCAAAACCCACACGGTGAGACACTTCCGCTTTGCCGTTTCATAAAGCGCCGCTTGTTTTCAGCGCAAAACTCTTCTTAAACAGTTTAGCGTTCCAACCGTGGCCGGTGAGGTGTGCTGAGTCCTTCAGTGAGATTGTCCGCAATTGCTGAATATGTTAGGAACGGGGAGAAGGGAACTGCTTCTCCCACCACCAGCACACACACACAGGAAGCCTGCTTTTCTTTCAACCACAAACAAAAAAAAAGTAGTGGGACACGCAATTCCTGTGGAAATGAATTTCCTGGTAAAGGTGTTGGCCAGCTGGAATGCTACAAAATACCACAGATGCTGGAAGTCTGAAGTCACAAAGAATGGCCTGTTTCCGTACTGGAGAATTCTATAAATGCTTTGCTGAGCATTGTGGCAGCACTTTCTGATGAAAAGTTATCAGAACTTTTCCCGCTTGGTGGAGGAATCAGTGACCAGGGGACATAGATTTACAGTCAGGCAGCAGGAGGTTTGGCGGGGATTTGAGGAAAAACCTTTCTACCCAGAGGGTGGTGGGAATCTGCAACTTACTTCCTGTAAGGGCGTTAGAGGCAGAAACCCTCATAAATTTGAAGGAGTATTTAGAAGTGCTGTTGAGATGCCAAGGCAGACAAGGCTATGAGCCAAGTGGTGGAAAATGGGATTAGAATAGACAGCTGGTCGTGCAGACTTGATGGGCCGAAGGGCCTGTTTCTGTGCTGTATGGCTCGAAACATTGGGTTGTGTTTTCCCAAATTGCGGATTGTCATTCGAGCCTGAGCATTCAGTAGGCAGGATCCTGGGCGGGATAGTATCATCGGCTGAGTGAATGGCTGCCATCGGAAGACTGTCCTTCAGTTGAGGATGATGGGCTGCCTCACAGATCTGCCAGTCACGTCAAGAGGGTGGCATTTCAGCCGTGCCACCCAGGGAGAGAAGGCCATTGGTAAGAAGAACAGAGCACCCCCATGTTGGGATGGCCTCAAAGGGCAAAGGCAGCTTTCTTTACACTGATTCCAGCAGGCCTTGGCAATTGGAGAACGGTTCACCGCTCCAATCCAGCGGTATCGTCTCAGCCATGGGGCTGGCACTTGCCGCTGGACGGCCCCTTTGTGTGCCACGGCGTGGCTATTAAGATGCCTCCCCCTGCCCTTTGGTTCAGTCCACTGGCAAGTCACCATGGCTCCCCACCACATCCCAGTCGGGGGCAGAGGTGACCGATTAGATGCCCATCTCCTGTCAGTGGGCAGTTCTGCCCGCGCTGTTCCTGTCACTGAGAACCTTCCACAGTGGGACAGAGGTGTCAGGCTCCATCAACACACCTTCTCCTCCATTGTACAAACCACCACCGTGCCTCCCCCCCCCCCCCACCCCCAACTCCCACCCAGCCACTGCTCCCCAGTGACTCTCTAGACAATTAGTAAAACCCAACCCATTAGCTCTATTCCACTCTCCAATGGGGGTTGCCAGACTTTGAGTGTTTCTAGTACCTTCTGTTCTTATTCCATTCAGTAACAATGATCCTTTGTTGCTGTTCAAACAGTCAATGGGCCTGTCATTCCAGGTGACCGCATACATGCCTGCCCAGAAAGCCAACAACAGTTGACTGGCTCAACTCCTTCACAGTAAAACTGTCAACCCAAGACAGTCTGGTGAACTTTATATCTTAAAACAGTCTGTGAATCCAACATTGCTAAGTTTCATTTGCTGTGCCCAAATGCTGTCCCCTCCACACTTCACTTCAGCTCTGATGAAAAAATCATCTAGACTTGAAACATTAGCTTACTCTCTCTCCATGGATGCTGCCTGACCCGCTGTAATCTCCAGCATTTGTCGTTTTCAGTAATTTCTCAGGCCAGTATCTTCACCAAAGTCAACCTGCCTGTTCGAAAATTTAAACAAAGCCTGTCAGTTAACTGTCATGTATCATTAACTTGTGCATTCTACTTGAGTCTTACCAAGCAGAGTCCACATACAGTATAAATATTGTTTTCCCTTTGCATTGGTATTTCTTGCAAATTGACCTGATGAACGCCAGACAAAAATCTTCAACAAAACGCGTCCTTTTTTTCCCAGCAATTCTCCATTTCAAAAATGCGATTGCTCAAAACTTGTTCTGTGGGCATAAATCCCACATATACAGAGGATGGCAATTCCTGAAATCCATTCAAAAAATTCCTTTTACCTAAATTCCTGCAGTTGCAAATTTCTTCAGAGTTTGAAGCTGTGAAATATGGTGTTGAAATCCCATGTCTACCTTATAGCAACCTACAAATAATCAGTGGAATTATGAGAGTTTATTGATACTCCAACATTGGAACAAATTGGCAGCCAGTTGTGCCTTATTACAGAAGGACACATATGTTATCATGCTTTAGTTAGCAAGCAGATTACAGAAGCTGGCTGTATTCGAGAGAGATTTCTCATCAGACCCAGGGCTCTTGGTGTTTCTGGCAGATTCTCTGATAACTCTGAGATGGCTTTCCCACCGACTCCCTTGGCTCTGCTGACCCTTGTATATCTTGGTTGTCAAGAGTCACACAAATGCCTTTTGTTTGTGGGTAACTGTCTGCTTTGAGGTGACAATTGTCATAGAACTTTTGAATCAAAGAATCCCTACAGTGTGGAAACAGGCCCTTCGGCCCAACAAGTTCACACTGCCCCTCAGACCCATCCCTCATAACCCATCTAATCTACACATGCCTGAACACTGTGGGCAATTTAGCATGGCCAATCCACCTAACCTGCACATCTTTGGACTGTGGGAGGAAACCGGAGCACCTGGAGACACGTGGAGAATGTACAAACTCCACACAGACAGTTGCCCGAGGGTGGAATCAAACCGAGGTCCCTGGTGCTGTGAGGCAGCAGTGCTAACCACTGAGCCACCGTGCCGCCCAGCACACCGTACAGCACAGAAAGAGGCCTTTTGGTCCATCATGTCCACGCTAGTTATCAAACATCCATCTCTTCAAATCCCATTTTGCAGCATTTGGCTAGCAGGCTTGTATGCTGTTGTATTTGAAGTGGTCATCTAAATAATTCTTAAATGTTGTGATCATACCTGTCTCTAGCACCATTTCAGGCAGTGACTTCCAGATACCCACCATCTGTTGGGTGAAAATGTATTTCCGCAAATCCCCTCTAAACCTCAGTAGATTGTAGACCTCCTCCCATTCCACCGACCTATAGTTTATTTGCTGAAGCCTATTGCTGTTATTTGAGTTTGGTGAGAGACCTTGCTAAAAGGTGAAGGCGTTGGAGGATCAGTGTGAAGCTCCAAGGGGGTTTGAGGGATCCGAACGTCATGATGTCTTCTTGTCCCTCTCTCTGGAGGCTACTTTGATTCCGAAGTCAGTTTTACTTTGTGTCTGAACTGGAATTAAGATGGTGCCAGGCCAAATAAAATCAGCAAGTTGGGGCATTCACTGTGCGGGTTTTGTTTCCATTGGCTAGTGTGTTATTTCATGAGATCACACACTATCCTCATTGGCCTGTAAACATAAATATGTTCCACTCTTCTCTACTTCCAATACTGTACACTCCCCATACAATTCAAAACTGCTCATCCAATATGAGCTTAGAGACAGGCACATAATTTTACAACACAGCACATCTATGTATCCAGGTGGCTTTAGGTAGTGAACATATTCGATTAGGTGCAACTCAGGTAAGATTAAGCTTCGCCTGAATTCAAATGTAGTTGACAATTCCTTTTACATTTTTCCCTCCTTCACCCTCTATGTGTATTAGAGACTATCAGTGGTTGTTGGCATAAGAAGTCTTAGAAATGTAGAAAATAGGACCAAGGCAAGCCGCTTAGCCTAATGAGCCCACTCCGGCATTCATTATGATCATGGCTGATCCTCTGTCTCAATGCCACACTCGTGCTCTCTCCCTACTCCTCGACAACTTTAGTCTCTAGAAGTCCATCAATTTCTTAAATATTTTCTGGGACTCGACCTCTACAGTGTTCTTTGGTAGAGAATTCCACAAGTTCACCACCCTCTGAAATGAAGACATTGCTCCTCATGTCCATTCAAAATAGCCTCCTAGATATGCTGAGACTGTGATCCCAGGTCAGGAGAATGTCGTCACTACGTCCTATCTATCCAGCCCTGTCACAGTTTTATACATTTTAATAAGATCCTCTCTCACTTAAATTCAAACAATAGAGTCATAGAGTCATACAGCACGGAAACAGACCCTTCAGTCCAACCCATCTATGCCAATCAAGTATCCCAAACTAAACTAGTCCCGTTTGCCTGCATTTGGCCCGTATCCCTCCAAACCTTTCCTATTTATGTACCTGTCCAAATGTTTTTTAAATGTTGTAACTTTACCTGCATCCACCACTTCCCCTGGCAGTTTATACCACACATGAACTACCCTCTGTGTGCACCTCTCAAGTCCCTTTTAAGTCTTTCTCTTCTCACCTTAAAATTATGCCCCCTAGTTTTGATCTCCCCTACCCTAGAGAAAAAAGACCTTTGCTATTCACTTTATCTTTACTCTTCATGATTTTATAAACCTCTAAACCTCTGTCAACCTTCTGCACTCCAGTGAAAGAAGTCCCAACTTAACCAGCCTCTTCTTATAATTCAAACCCTCCAGTCCTGGTAACATCCTTGTCAACCTTTTCCGTACCCTTTCCAATTTAATAATATCCGTCTTATAGCAGAGCAATCAGGACTGCACACAGTACTCCAAAAGTGGCCTCACGCTAATGTCCTGTACAATGCAAAATAATGTCCCAATTCCTACACTCAGTGGTCTGACCAATGAAGATAAGCGTGCCAGATGTCTTGTTTACCACTC